ATATATATATATATATATATATTTATATATATACACATACATATATTCTATGTTAAAGATCCAAATATTTAAAGATCAGAACAATACGAATGTCCACGATTAAAATAATTAGGTACATCTCCGGGAGTTGATAGTTTTACCTTAACAAGCTGATTGGGAAATAACGTTAGAAATGAAATTCCTCAACGTCACTGACAATCAACGTGTTAAGCTGAAATCGGACAGAGGAATTAGGACAGAGATGCACGCAACGTATGCGCATTTTCTTCAGGGTCTCATGAGGCTAACGGACATGTCCTTCGCGATGTTGTACGTCGGATGGCTCAATTACCTCATGATCACCGTGTTACCCGTGACGATCTTGTGCGCGATCCTGCTATCGCCCGTGTTCGCGACCACAAACGTATTAGTCAGCGCGATCTTCGTCGCGATGTATAACGTCCTCGCAGTGCTCTTCATGTTCACTATCGGCACATTCTTCAATCGCTGTGAGTCATTCGGAGGCGTAGAAGAAGATATTGCTACGCGCAATTGCGATCTTGATCTCAACAATCTCGCGTTGCTTTTCTCGCAGCTACGAAGGCAGTGCTCACGTCGATCCTGTTCTGGATTTTCCTCGCGCATTTCACCCTCGTCCTCGATCAGTCCCTCGCCGGGGCGCCCCACGTCTGGAGGATCGGTTCGTTGCTATTGCCGCACAGTGGCTTGCTGTACGGACTGGTGGCCTTCACATCGCGTACGGTTCCGGGTGAGAACGCGCTCTCGCGTACATAAAATCAAAGTAACTGCGAAATTATTCCAAGCGAGACGGATGATGAATAGAACGAGGAAGTTAGAACGCGGACCATATAATAGACGTTATTCACGCGTCTAAAGTGCAGTACGAACTCGTTTGCCTTGACATTAGGTTCACGAATAATTTCAATTTTTTCTCTTTTCACCTTGATTTCCCGGCGACTTGCCACACGCCTTTTACGTATGCAACTCGGGAAAATTTTCCCGAATAAAAGTTGATTAAACGCAAAAGTTAGGAAATTATCCGACGTTTGAGATAAGCGTTCCTTGCAAACGGAACATTAATCTTTTTGCGCTACGTTAACAGGTCATGAATATATTCATAAATACTGTCAAATTAAGATAAGAGAATCCATTTGTCAACAGTTTTTATATAGCGTAATTATAGAATTTAATGCAAATTAAGTGCTGGAAATGTGCGAATCAAGGACTTCTTACGTTGAATTGACGAAATTTTATTCTAATTGAGTCGCCGAAACTAAATTTCTAATCAACGATATAATTATTATTTCAACAATATAATTATTATATCAACAATATAATTATAAATATATAATTGGTAATATGCTCTATAGAGATCAGACTTTGGATGTCAGTACAGATAACTTTAAACTACACAGAAAGAATGTTATAGTCTTTCTTTCATAGAAATTTATTTAAATTTTACTAATTTTTCTAGTAGTACAGATTGTTAGTAAGATCAGCAAGGAAATCCAAGTATAATTCACTTACTCCTGTTCATTATATGTCTATTTTTACCCATTGCAAATCTAATTTTCTAAGGTTGCCAATATGCGTGATCTGCATTTGACAGTTTCAAATTTTCGAGTAGTAAGGATTCGAATCGAATCATATCTTATTCTATTCGAATAGTTCACACATCTCTATTGAATAAGCGCACCAACAATGAAATTTCTGACGCTTTTATATCGTTAGACGGTTACGGGAATGAAGATCTGAGAAATATCCTCGGAGAAATGAGACCACGCGATCACTCCGCCGGTCCCGCTTCAAACTTGTGGCCGCGATGGCTCGTCGAACTGATAACACTTCGCGACACTCACGCTATCGTACACGCGAAAGAAAAGATCTCCATCGGCGCGATCCTGTTCGCGTGGATCTTACACATTGCTTTCTGGTATCTGGCGGCGGTGTACTTGGACAACGTTAACCCGGGAAAATTCGGTAGTGCGAAATCTTGGTATTACTTGTGCAAGGTAAATGACAGAACTTCGCGATTAACCGCGAATTTGCTGGACACTGCTTTCAACTTTACCGCTCGCTCTTCTAGAAACCGACTCGCGACGAGGACGGGGAAGTGAGATATCGAGGATCGACTAATTGGTCGGCGGTGGAGCATATCCCGTCGTATATAACGGTATCGTGACACGTGCATCGCAAATTCCTCTTAAAAATGCAGTCATTTTTATTTTTGAGACTTGTCTGACGCATTCGGGTAAAATGGAGAATAATTTGTCTAGCCTTTTCACTTAAAATGACTACATGATTTCCCTGCAGAATGTTTTTTTCTTTTAACAAGCATATCTAGATTTCTTTTTTTATTGTTATTTTTTCGAAAAATTTTAGAAAGTAGAATATAAAATATATTTAATTTTCTCATTTACATTTGAGAATTACAACAAATAGTTCATATAAAAGGAATTTAATATTTTACCATGAAACGAGGTTACCACCTGAGAGATACCACTTGCGTCAAAACCAAACAATACGATGGAGAATGATAAGAGCTAATCGCAGGTCTAATTTGCAATTATTACAAATACACTATAAAGGTAGACGAAGAAAATATTGTAGTGAAATTTACGCTTAAACTATGTTCCTTCTTGCAATGATTTTTATAAAGCAGGATTATATTGAAATTGTAGTATATAAATTACTACGGAAATAATAAATTTGAAGATTTGTGCGATATAAAAAAATTCAAGTAATTATAATAATTTTGTAATAAAAAGTCAAATGTGCATAAGATTTAAAAATCTTTAAAAATCTTTAAAAATCTTTATAAAAATCATTGCAAGAAGGAACATAGTTTAAGCGTAAATTTCACTACAATATTTTCTTCGTCTACCTTTATAGTGTATTTGTAATAATTGCAAATTAGACCTGCGATTAGCTCTTATCATTCTCCATCGTATTGTTTGGTTTTGATGCAAGATGTCTGCGGGAATTTTGATTAACGTGTATTCATAACTTTGATAAGTCCTCATGCAGAATTGATTTACATATGTTAAAAACAAACAAACAAATAGCCGTCTATTCGGGTAAGATGCGTCAGCAGAAGATTCGGCAGGACTGGCGATTATGTTACCGCCGTGGACGACGTGACGATCGATTTTTACCGTTACGAGTTCAGCGTCATCCTCGGTCACAACGGTGCCGGCAAGAGCTGTTTATTAAAGATGATTATAGGTATGAAAAGGCTCTTTATCATTCATTGACGTGCGCGTATCGACGGCTTAATTGCGATCGGAGGACATATGTCGCAGGAATGTACAAGCCGACTCACGGTCGCGTCTACTTGGAGAGCAGGAACGACAATGACAACGGAAGTGTTCCGATCGGTTATTGCCCGCAGGAGAATATATTGGTGAATTATATGACGACGGTGCAGCATCTTTATATGTTCGGAATGGTAAATATCATAGAATCACTGTCGCACGAAAGAGATGACAAAATGTTGAATCAGATAGCGCGTATCAGTATTTCGCGCGCTTAAGGGGATGCTGGAGTCGATGACGAACTTGAACAATGTCGATAATGCAGAGACGATTGTCATTAACATAATCACGCTATCCTTTTCGTATTTCTTGTACATATAGAACTTAGGTCCGATCTACAATAGATGGAGTAAGGGGTAGGAGTAGGAGTAAGACAAAATGGAAATAATTTATTTCGCTTACTCCCTTACTCCAGCTCCTTACTTCAGCTCTTACTACTTAATTCAGGCTTAAGCTGGCACATAGAAAAACTTAAGCAGTAAGACGTAAGCAGTAAGCAAATTGACCAATCAAAGTCATTGATTCTTCTTACGGTCCAAGAATCAACGACTGTGATTGGTCAATTTGTTTACTGCTTACGTCTTACTGCTTAAGTTTTTCTGTGTGCCACGGCCCTTACTCCATGTGATGTATATGGACAAACTTTTATTGGAGTAAAGGAGTAAACCAAATAATTATTTCCATTTCGTCTTACTCCTACTCCTTACTCTATCTATTGTAGATCGGGCTTTACATGAATGTATGTTGCTTTGTTTTACTATACTCAACGGAAAACCTAACTATATATGTGTAGAAATCTTTCTGCAAACTTTTTCGATATTCTTAAGCTTCTAAATGCGGATGCGAAGGTATAGCAATGTTCTTCAAAATTTTTCTGCTTGAAGCATCTACAATTTTGATATGTACAAGCTGCGGAACTTTTGGATTAGACAAATATTACATTAACTGACAGCTTGAGATTTTACATTAAAAATTTTTTGTTCGTTTTCGACACATATCGAGCAATGCTCCTATTTATTTTTGCACGTACTTTCATTGCGTAAAAGCATTTGTAATTATGTGTAACCAATACGACGTAAACTTTGCAGAAAAATGTCAGTGTTCTGTCGGTAAAGTTTTTAGCTTCAGCATCCCCTTAAGCAAATACTGAAGTTAACCTAACCGACAGAATACTGACATCTTTCTGCAAAATTTACGTTATATTAGTTGTACAGAATTACGAATGCTTTTACTCAATGAAAGTACGTGCAAAAATAAATAGAAGTGCTGTTCAATATATGACGAAAGCAAAAAACAATTTTTTAATATAAAATCTTAAGTTGTCAGCGTAATATTTGTCTAGTTCAAAAGTTTTCGTAACTTGTACATACCGAAAGTGTGGATGTTCCAAACAGAAAAATTTTCTATTTTCGAGTTCGTCACTTCAGCGTTCCCTTAGAAGGTCATTCTCAATTTGTAGACTACTGATTTGTATGTGATAAAACGTTTAAAACTTAGAGTTACTAATTCTCGCGTAGTCACGGCTCTATGAATAAAACTTCAAACATCTCTCGAAGAAAAAATGCTTAGAATAAGCATTACGTCGACTTGGGTGAATGAACTGGGCCGATGCTATCGTATACACCCTTCTCTTAATCGTTCCGACTTATTATTAGAAAGTGAATTCTTGTCGGGTTACCCGTTAAATTACAGCAGGACTATCATTTCCTTGCAATTTAACGTAGAAAGTTTGTGGCATACACAAGTTTAGATTATAATACATAATATTATTAGTGATATGAACAATTGTAACACGCGTTCATATACAGCGATAAAAAATATACGACGTGTCGTATATTTTTCGGAAAGTGTCGTAAAAATTAAACATTTCTCCAATGTTGAAGATGTATTGGAATTTTATAGCTTGGTAATTGAATTGTCATTTCATAGATGAAAGGGATGCCGTACGAGGAGGCCTATAGAGAATCGTTGAAACTACTGAAGCAACTCAGTTTAGAATCCGTTAAAGATTCGAAGGTGAAACATTGCTCCTTTGGTACGCAGAGGAGAATTTGTTTAGCAATGGCGCTTATCGGCAATACTGAGGTATATTATCTTATCTGAGGAGAGAGGAAAAGATTGATAACTTTCGAAAAATTTGTGATTATAAAATTAATGACAATGAATAAGCCGGGCGAATTATACATCTGAATTGTGCATTTCGGCAGATTCTGGTCCTCGATGAACCTACATACGGAATCGACCTCGAACACAGAAGACAAATGTGGGACTTGCTTTCAGTGAGTAGTTTCTGCTGAAGAGACTGCTCAATGCCTGTATGAAGTTAGCCCTCCACTTTTCGAATTTAATAATTTTGACAGTTGTGATGATTTGTGCTACATTGTGCTCGAATTATAAATTTTTAATACGAAAAATGAGCAAGAAAAATGGAAAAAACCGTTTTTTTGATAGCCCCAAACTTTCCGATTTTCGAAATTTTTTTTATTGCGCTAAGTTGTGTTAACATTGTGCTAAAATAGTATCTTCGAAAAATAATCACGAAAGAAATAAAACGAAAAAAACGATTTTAGGTAAAAAAGAAGAAAAGTAAGATTGACACTCGTATAAGTCAACCAAACGATATACAATTATATATCTGCGTGCGTGAAGTTGGCACCTCATTTTTTAGCACCGCAAGTTTTGACATGAGTTCCATTTGCACCCACAATAGTTCTATAGTTCCTGATAGGTTATAGCAATAGTTCCGTC